AAATCCTGCAGAAATGAGGTATTTCTGTACATTTTTTTTTTTTTTTCAGACGATGTTTAAAAGTCAATGCTCAAAAATTTATAAAAGCTATGAATCTAATTGTTTGGTGTCTACTTATTGCATCAAACCCCAGGATCTCCCAAAAAAATGTGAAAAATCAACTTGCCATTTCTGCCTATATTCTTTTCCTGTTAGACGGAGGTTGTTGCCAGACAGAAATTGGAGATTCAGATACCCACTTCACTTTCATTCAAATTACATGTGTATGTATGATTGTATTTGTAAATGTATATTTTAATTCAAATGACAGACCTAAAATTATTTCTACAAATTTAAAAAAAAAAAATGAAAATTTTAAATAATTCTTTTTACTTATGAGTAATTTTCAAAATGTTTAATAAAATCTTAGTTATCTGATATTTAAAAAAAAAAAAAAATTTTTTTGTCTCCAAAATTTGTTTTTATTGCTTAGTTCAGAGTAGGAGTTGTTCAAACCAAGTGGGATTTTTTTTTTTTTTTAAACATTATGTTTCACCCTGTACAAAGCCCATGGAGCCACTCAAGGTAGAGGGGTATGTTAAAAGGTAGTTTATATGAATAGAAAGGGAAGATAATGGTTAACCGTAGACTTGAACAGTGTAAGATAGGAATGTATTATGCCAATGTCTTAATTCAAACTCATTCAGACGTATGTATGTGTGTGCATGCTTGTGTATATGTTATATGGTACAATCACATGTAAGTCATTCACATGCAATGCAGACATATGCATACACATTATATATACACACATGCAAATTCACAGTGTGTGATGGACATGGAATCAGCTCTTTGTTTAAATTCTTATTACCCCATAACTTGGGAGACATGCAGCTTTCTTCGGTAAAGGGGTGGCGCATGGCAATACCTGTCTTCTCTCCCAGTTGCATGCAACAGGTTGTACTGGATTAAATGGTAACAGTAGCAGTTAGTAATCTCTTGATCTAACCTGTTAGGTGAGATGTATTTATGCCTTACCTGAGGGCATTAGCATGAAATAAACATAAACTACACAGCCAGGACTTGAACCAGATTCCCTGATTCCATTTTCCATGTTTGTAACCAATAAGCTATCTAAGCTAAAATAATAAGTGTTGATAGCAGACACAGAAAGGAAACTACAAGAACTCCTACAGAAGGAGGAGAAGAAAAGCGAGAAGAAATGACTAAACATTAATTGAAAGAAGGCAGAATGCATGAGGGTCATTCCAGCCAGATTCAAACAGGGTCGGTCCTGAAGTTGGGACTTTTGCAACAAGTGACAGGGGAGTGTGATTAGTTGATTGACTTTAAAGAGACTGATAATGGTTCTGATGAAAGAAAGAGTGCCAAAGATGCTTTCAGTGAGAGTTCTCCAAAAGAAAGAAAAAAAAAAATACAATAAAATTCAATACTATTTACATTATTCGGACTATTGTCCTCATCTTTATCACATTGTTTATCACAACGTTTCAGCTGTTGTACACTCCAGCCTCCTTCAGGTGGTTCAAATATCAAACTGAACCCTTTATTTCACTTACTGGGGTAGACTGTTCTAGTTCCACATGCCATGTCTAATGGATGTCCATTATCTCCTGTTAATTCCCCTCTCAAAGTTCTCCACCGCCTTAACCAGGTATTGAACTCACACTCTTTGTGTCCTGTCACTGGATCTAACTAACGCCTTTATCTACTGTGCTATGTGTCCTTGAGGACATCTGTGTATGAATTTCTGGTTATTATAAATCTAATGTTCAGCAATCATTTTTTTATCAGTGCTCATATTGCAAACCAAACCAAACCAATTCCATTATTATTGTTAACATGAAGTATGTTTTCTTATGTCAACTAACACGTCCGACCAATGAAATTTCTCATTAGTAATACATAGGGGAGATCAAGCTGCATGATCAATAAAATATAACGTCACCTTGTATTTTTTGTTATAGAATAGATTGTTGTTGTCTATTTTTTATCTGTATAGCATTTCATTATGTATCCAATAATTCAAGCAGCATTATTTTTGCATATGTTAGACACACAAGAGAAGGCATGGTGGAATAATGGTTAGTGACTCAGATTGAGGAATTGGGGGTGCCGAGTTCAAATTCCAGTTGAATTCATTGCATTCACTTCTGTGCTAATATCCTTGGGAAAGGTATGAATCCTCTTCTTCTCCCCCCAGATATCAGTAAATAGCAGGACAGACCAGGTTCTGTAGCCTTGGATGACAACTGGTCTACTGCAGAAAGAAATGGCAACCTACTGTGGGAAAAAATCTGCCTCATCAGTCATGTATCGAAAGATACATGATCACCCAAGCGTGTATCATGCATGGCACATAACTGACTGACTAGACACACACCCATACTGGATTTATTGTTAAACTTTTCAGGTGGAGACACCCAAATGTGTCTGGTCTGTATAATCAGGCAGCACTGTATTTCGGTACATAGCATTAATACATCACATGGTCAACTAGAGTGCCAGAAAATCTACAGTTTTTAGAAAAATTGTAGGTTTCCAAAACCATATATCATAACCAGTAATATCAAAGGAGGCTAAATTTGGTAACATTTGGAAGAGAAATTAATTGACTGACTGTTGAAGCTTAATTAAGCATGGAATAATACAACACAAAATGTACGTTAACAAAATGTATTGAAACAAAGAATAGGTACACAATATTTACAGTTAGTTTGGTATATTCTTGGGAAGACTGTTCCTGCATAATGGGTTGACTAAATCGCAGTCGGGGAGAGTCTCTGGATTCAATTTCTTAATCTCTACTATCTTCCCAGTCTTCCGGTACCAACCCATATTTATATGGTCGGTAGTCCGCTTATGTAAATTAGGTGTATCATACACAACACTGACATATAAAACTGACTTGTTATACTTGATTTTCAGTGTTTTTTGAGATATATCAATTTGACTGAACTTGAAGGAACAGTGATCAAAACTGTTCAACTGTCGAACTCTCTGCCTTGAGCAGAGAGGAACTCGGACAAGGTTTTGCCACAGAGCAAAGTTTCATCCAGGGAGGTAGACAGGCCCTGAACCTGTTTATACAGGTTCAAAGGGAATATTTTTGGCTGAGCCTACAGGATCAGAAAACCACAGTAAACTCAGCCTTGTGCCACATACATCCCTTTTCTGTTAAATATTAACATCATACTCAAATGTTTCAACTATTTGGTAAGGACTTTGGGGATTTAACAAATGTAAATCCCCTAAGGGCTGATAGGGTTAAAGTACTTGAATGTTTTTTATGGTTTATCAACCCTTTGTGGGCTATTTAAAGCTGAAACATATTTTGGATTGTATAAACTCTCACTATTTTTTTTGTATATTTTATTAACAATTTTTTTTTTAAGAATGATTTTTCCTGATACAAGCCCTACTATTTAACCTTTAGTTGGGGGGGTAGAAGATGAATTCATATCTTTCCAAAGTGTATTTGTACATAAAGGAATGTAACAAACCTGACTTGAATTAAAACTTGGTTCTTCAATTTTTCACTCTAACCCGCTGGTCATTATGCCATCCACGCATCATTGAAATATTTGAACATTTTAAATTCTTTCTCTCTCTTTCTATAACATTGATTCTACCTGTCAATGCTTATTTTTATTTTATTTATTTTATTTTTTTTTACAAAAATAAAAAATAGCATTCAGTAAAAAAAAAAAACATTAGAATTCTGTAATAATGATGTTTTCTATAATAATAATAATGACTAGTAGTAGAGCCCGGCGTTACCTGGGGATGTAACAATAAGAGATAGATCAAGTATCGACCATCATAAAGACTGAAAAATAAAATTGACAAAGATTATTGTTTAAGGTTGACGGACACGCATGTCTTAGTTTTTTTTTGTTTGTTTTTTTTTGGGGTTTTTTTTTTTTACGAATTGGTCAAACCCAAACTCAAACAAAAACATTGTTTTCAATCGTTATGAGTCTATTGATTGAATTGAATTTTATTATAAACAATTGTCTTGTAAATGGAATTTTTAAAGCATTCTGAATGTAAAAATAAAGAAAAAAGTGTGCAAGACAATAAGAAACACTACCTGCCAAAAAAACGTGAAGTTTTGTTGAAAAATGTAGGAAATCCGCTCCAATATATAAATGAACACACACACACACACACACACACACACACACACACACACACACAAACAAACAACCTGGGTTTTATAATAAGTATAACTCGATATGAGTTGTCCCCCTTTCATTCTGGCGACATAATCGTGTTTTATTGTGTTTTCAAATTGATTTTGTGCAAAACAATTGTGTTTTTCCAATTTTTGGCACTGTCAGAACCACCACAAGGTAATTTTACATAGACCTGTGAAGTTTTGTTGAAATCGGTTGAAAAATGTAGGAAATCCGATCCCATATATAAACGAACACACACACACACACAACCTGGGTTTTATAATAAGTATAACTTCGATATGAGTTGTCCGCTTTTCATTCTCGCGACAGCGTATGCCTCTGTCGTGTTTTCAAATTGATTTCATGCAAAAACAATTGTTTTCCAATTTTTGGCACTGTCAGAACCACATAAAGTAATTTTACATAGACCTGTGAAGTTTTGTTTGAATCGGTTGAAAAATGTAGGAAATCCAATATATAAACGTACATACACACACACACACACAATCTGGGCGTTTTTATCATAAGTAAGATAATAATAATAATATTTTCTATAATAATGATAATAATATTTTCCTTTTCAAATTAATAAACTTTCCCTTTTTTTTATCTCTTCTCTTTTTTTATAGACTGAAATCTTTGTGAATGAACAGGATTTTACTTGGTTGTTTTTATTCCTATTCTGGGAATAAGAATGAAACACGCAAACAACCTGTCATGCAAACTGACCCGAATGGAAGACATTCTCTGCTGCAGCTGACATCAAACCACCGTCAGTTTCAAAACGGTAAAGCTACCAGCAACCATAATAACGGCACCATGACACCACCACCTCAACTGACTCTCCAACAACAAGCTGTCATCCAACACCCGCCGTCCTCGGATCCCAACCTGGACCGGCTTCAAGAGGACACCCCAAAACTCATTCACCAGATAATCACTGACAAAACTACTAATTCATACAATGTAAAGTACCGACCAGATTTAAACAATGCCTCATCTCATGCAGGAAATGGTCAAGATGTTTCTGACAGAAACAGACTGACAACAAATAACCTCACTGACAAGGCAACACAGACATCTAAAAATGCAGACAACAGCCCCAGCAGTAATAACAATAATAGCCCTCCTCCTACAGAACTTGAAACAACTGTGAATAAAAGACGTTTGGTGTCCTCAGCCAGTGTTGACAATGGCAATGTGAATTTTGTTTTTGATTGTGCAGAGAGGAACGCATTCCATAACCCTGGATTTACAGATGACAGTATTAACGAGTCAAATCCGTTTCAGATTCCAAGCCCCGAATTACAAGTAATGATGAACACTCACACAAATGTGATAGTGAAGAGAAAAAATTCTCTGAAGCTATCAAAGAGTGACACATCGGGTTTGAAACAGGATAAAAAGGGGTGCCATGAGAGCCAGAGAAAACTTGTGACTCGAGCATTGCAGTCATTTGCAGCCAGCAACAGGGCTAACAATAACATCAACAACTCCTTTAAACAAAACAGTTACAAGAAAAATTGTCCAGACAATTCCTTAATTATCAGTAACATCCCAGCAATAAACAAACAAAAAGATTTACTTGTGCTTGATTCACCCCAGTCAAATGAGAAACATGCTCCAAAAATCCCAATTCAGAATGGGTTGAAAGGAACCCCTAAAACTCTAGATGAACCAACAGCAAAAGACAAAATTTCCACAGGCCAAGGCAAAATTCCAATTCCTGAAAAGCTCAAAGAAAACGGCTTTCAGGCATCCTCAGATAGTCTCGATATGACAGCACCAGTATCAGAAAATCTTCAAACTTCACAAATTAAGAGCTTTACACAGAGCGATGGAAAACACCAAAACACCTCCAAAGAAAAACATGGAGATTCTAGAAATTCCTTTAAGGTATCTCTGCTAAACACACATGTCAGAAATCTTTCACTCGATTCTCCTATTCATGTCGGAATTCATAACGGAATGCAACAGCTTTGTATTGAAAAAAGCATTTTGGATTGGATGCACAAGAAATATTGCTCTGAGCAGTACAAGAAGAAACGGTCAAGTTCTGCTGATACGGTCAACTACATCAATGGTCAGTATTTTGTCCAGTTGTTGGAAAAACCCCCAAACGACTCGGATCAAAATGGAGAAGATGTCCCCTCATTTTCTTTGCACACACTTCAATATTACAAACTACCAAAATCAACAGTTCATGCAGGTAATTACCAAACAGCGCCACCATCTTTTCGAAGAGAATTTAAGTACAAGCAACAAAGAATTATTACTAATGGAACTTTGGATAAGGTAAGTCAAACATTGCATCTTACTCACTTATTTGTTTTTTTTCTTTTATTTTTAGAACTCTCCAGCTGGAAGAGAGAAAAAAGTTATGCCATACACAATTGTTTTTAACACGCTGGCTCTCAAGCCTCATTTCCCTTGTTATTCCAGGTTCCCAACACTATATCTTAATTTTGGTACAAGCAACTTTGTTTTAACATTGTTTCATATATAAAGCAAGGATATTGTAGCTAGTTTTTTTTTATCACCCATGACCCACTAGTGTGTTGTTAGGTGCCTGAGTCTATTTTACAACCCAGAATCCCATATGACTCACCTGTGGGTCATTAAAAAATTCCCAATATACAAATATTAGATTGACATTCTGATTTTCTATATTCAAAAATATTTAAATATTTTTGGAATCAGCTTTAAAATTAGGTTTGGTTTGTTTTGTTTTGTTTCACAGCATGTAAACCACAATGAGTTATTTAATGCCGACAAGATTTTTATTGCTGGTAATATTTTTTTTTCAAAAATGTAATGCTGGTAATGTAATATGTAATAATTTTTTCTTCAAAAATTTATTGCTTGTAACTTTTTGCAAAAACATAATGCTGGTATTAAAACCTATTTTTAAACTTTCATAGTGTTTTGACTCCAGTTTGAGGGTTAACTATTTGCTCATAGATGGAACCCTAACAGATGCTACCACCTCAGGTCAGAGTGGACCTGGGAAAAACAGCAACTAAAAGGTGGTTCCACGCTCTTCAAAGCCTCCTGATCAGAGGCCTTGCTGTTGGATGTAGTTTATCGTCTTACCCAGGATGCTTAAAATTAGCTCTTCAAAAGTCACATGATACGCGAATATTGTTGTATGTAATAAAGAATTTCATGTTTTAAATCATTAAAAGTAAAAATATGCAAAGAAAGCTAATATGAAGCAAAGAAATAAAATTTTCTTAACAACCTGTTCTCATTACTTATTAATGAGATATTCCATTTTCATTGTAACATGAAGTATGTTTTGTTATGTTAACTAACAACTCCTAAGAATGAAATCTCTCAATGAAATATACGGTAGTTATATTTTTGTACAGTTGCTTATCAAAATATGTGGCTTACAGTCACATCATGTTAAGTTAAGCAATGTTGAGCCTGGTCAGTACCTAGATGGGTGACCACTTCAGAATACCAAGTTTGGATATGTGGGTGGTGTAATGGATAATGGCTCAGAATTTTTAATTGGTGATCCTTGTTCTAATTCTAGTTGGGTTCGTTATATTCACTTATGTACAAATACTTTTAAGAAAGGTATGAATCCACCTTTTCTCCCCCCCCAAACTATGGGCTAATTAGTAACACTTATATCACTAAAACCATTATTGGAGTACTGTTATGGAGCTGACAAGTCCTCACTTTTCAGTCTTGATAGAATTCATAAGTGTCTCCTAGTCCTTGTGAGTGACAAATTATTTTCCACTATCCAATTTCTTTCTTACAGGCAGGATGTGGCAAGCTGCTCTGTTGCTCTTTTCATGGAAAGTGCTCAGATGAACTGCATTCCTTAGTTCTGCCAGGTCTAACCTTCACAGCTAGGACCCGCCAAGCCACTTATATTGTAGCAAGCCACCCACATTCCCTCTGTATTCCATCGGTGTGAAGTAAGTTCCACTCAAACAGCCTAACCACTGCTTTGTGGAACCGATTCCTAAGAGGATTTTTCCCTGATCACTACAATCTTAAACTGTTCAAGTCTAGGGTTAATGGTTATCGTCTCCTTCTATCTGTATAAACTACCCCTTAACATAACTCTCTATCTTGAGTGGCTCCCAGGCGTTGTACAGAGTGAACCACACTGTAAAGAAAAAAAAAAAATATACAAAATATTTATATTTTGGCATTAAATAACCCATATAGGTTGATATCCCACGAAGCAAAAGCAGCCAACATTATAAAAATTTGTGTAGTCTTGTTTCATTAAAGTATTTCTGTATGAAAGTCATAGAAAAAAAAATGATTTTCATAAATGTAACTTAAATTTAGAAAGAAAATTTAGATCTTTGTTCTTCAATACAGTAGAATCTTGGTTCATGAGTTTAATTCATTCCTGAAGGCTGTTCGTTACCTGAAATGTTCATAAACCGAAACTATTTTTCAAATAGGAATCAGTGTAGAGAAAAAAAGTCACAGTACAATAAAATTGGAAAAGAAAAGCATGCCATCACACACTAATGTATACAACATTGTGGTCAACTCAGAAATTATTCTTTTTGGCTTAACTCGGTTCAGCAATTTTGTTCAGGAACTAAAATTTTGTTCGATAACTAAGGCATTTTCATCTCAAATTTTCTGTTCAAAAACTGATTTGTTCGACATATGAGATGTTCAAGAACCGAGGTTGCACTGTGTTTGAAACTTTTTTATATTTCTCATGAAACTTTTGTAAAAAAATATTTTCTATGAGAAAAGATTTTCCTGTTATAACCATTTCAAATCTCAAAGTACAAATTAGAGAATTACTTTCAAAAGTTTTGTGACTGTTTTGAAATAGCAGTCATTGACTACTGTTTTTGATTCTTTTCTTTTCTTTTTTTTTTTTTTTTTTCATTTAGAGGAAGGGCCAAGATATTTTTATTTATTTATTTATTTTTTTTTTTTTATGAAGCTTAAACTCCTTTTTATGACTTGAACAATTGAGGTTAGCCTTGGTGGATTCCTTGAAGGCATAGGTATTAAATGATTGTTTATTTTAAACATTTCACATGTCCCAAAATGTTTGTTTTTCTTTTAAACGAATTGAAGGTGTACTTTAGAAAGAACTGCTCCCAAAATGGGTCATTTCCCTTTTGGGAATGAAAGGCTTTCTTTTTATTTCAAAGATTTATTTGACTGAAAAATAATGAGGTTAATCTAAAATACTTTTTTGTTATCATTTCATTCCCTCTTCTCTTCCCCACCCCACACGCCCCACAAAAAAAAAAAAAAAAAACTTTTGCTGACCATCCAAATTATTTCCTTTGAAAATAATTATAATTAGGTTTGTTTAGTTTTACAGCATATCAACCTTTGCCATTTGACTTTGGTCAATTTGATAAACAATAGAAAGTTTCATCCATACAAGACTCGAGATCCACTCAAGGTAGAGGGTTAAGTGCATAATATGAATGTAAAAGGATGTGATAGGAAGTGAAAAGATTATGAGGATAAGAAGGATAAATTATAACTGACCCTTGATTTGAAGTGGTTGCAGTTTAGTGCTCAGGGAAGCATTCACATGGGAATCTGCCCCACAAAAGGTAGCAGTTCTTAAGAAAAAGCTCTTTGAGTGAAATTGAGTGGTGATTCAAATCTATGGATGTAACATGGCATGCTCTAGCTGTAAAGGTTTGAACTTTTGTTTTATGGGATATCAACCTCAATGGCTTATTTATTGCTGACTAGATTTTTAGGATAGGTTTTTTTGTGAATAGAATAAATATTCTTTGTAAGAAATCGGTTTGTAGATCAGATTTCACTGACATATTTTTGTAAAGAGGGTTGCATTAGTTTGTTACTTTTGTTTAGTGCATAGCAACGTCTATGGGTTATTTAATGCCAAAATCTGAATATTTTAAATGCAATTTTGTGGCTTAAACTGAATATATATTGTACATAATTTTATACTTTGAGTAAAGGTATATTTTTTAGATATATATAGTTTGTAGATCATAAAATGTATTTTTGGTAATTTTAATATAAAAATGTATTTTTATATTTTTAGTGATGTATTGATTGTCATTTTGCTATAAAAATGCGTTCTTGGTCATTTTATTATAAAAATGTCCTGTTGATTTTTGTTTGGGTGTTCACTATTTGCCTATAGCTGGGACCCTAATAGGTGCTACCACCCCAAGTCAGGGTGGACCTGGAAACAACATCAATTAAGCTCCTCAATATCATCAATCTCCTGATCAGAGGCTTTGCTGCCAGATGTAATTTATCATCATACCCAGGACTAATGATATAAAAGAAAATGGAGTTGGTAGGAAGTGATGATTATGAGGATAAGGTGGACAGATAGATTGACCATTGATTTAAAGAGATTAAGATTGTAGTTTTCACGAAAGCATCCATGTGGGAGCCTGTACCTTAAAGTAGAAGTATAAAAATCTATTTTTATACTTTCATAGATTTTTTTGTTTTTGTTTTGGAGGTTGCCCATAGCTGGGACCTTAACAGGTACTACCACCCCAGTCATATCATGTTGAAACATTGGTTCTCGGATGATCATTAAAGTCAAGCCTGGTTAGTACCTAGATGTACGTGTAAGTTTGGATGTGGGGGCTGTGTAATAGATAACAGCTCAGGATTGGAAACTGGAGATCCAAGTTCCAATTCCAGTTACGTTACTTACTCACTTACATGCAAATACCATTGGGAGAGGTGTGAATCCACCCCCCCCCCAGCTAAGAGTTAATTAGTAGGACTTGTACCAGTAAATCATTATTACCTCCAAAAATTGAACAATCTAAAAAAAATTTTCTGGCTTTAAAAGACCTGCAAAAGGTTGATAAGCTGTAAAACAACAAATCAGTCAACATATATATATATATATATATATATATATACTAGCTTAAAAGACACCCTATTGGGCAACATTTAAGCTAGCTCCTGCAGAGGGCTCTTGATTTGGCCTTCATCACAATAGGTAGGGAGGAGTAGATGTGATAGGCAACGATAAATGACAAAACTGATCACTACATTGCATTCATATCTAATCTTACCTTTTAAAAGTTCAACGATAATTCTTCTGCTGCCACTTAATTTGTTGATGTAGATTCTTACTTTCCATACAAACAATTATTTGATGTCTGTAGGTCCTTACTTTCCATACAAACAATTATTTGATGTCTGTAGGTCCTTACTTTCCATACAAACAATTATTTGATGTCTGTAGGTCCTTACTTTCCATACAAACAATTATTTGATGTCTGTAGGTCCTTACTTTCCATACAAACAATTATTTGATGTCTGTAGGTCCTTACTTTCCATACAAACAATTATTTGATGTCTGTAGGTCCTTACTTTCCATACAAACAATTATTTGATGTCTGTGGTCCTTATTATTATTTGATGTCTGTAGGTCCTTACTTTCCATACAAACAATTATTTGATGTCTGTAGGTCCTTACTTTCCATACAAACAATTATTTGATGTCTGTAGGTCCTTACTTTCCATACAAACAATTATTTGATGTCTGTAGGTCCTTATTTCCATACAAACAATTATTTGATGTCTGTAGGTCCTTACTTTCCATACAAACAATTATTTGATGTCTGTAGGTCCTTACTTTCCATACAAACAATTATTTGATGTCTGTAGGTCCTTACTTTCCATACAAACAATTATTTGATGTCTGTAGGTCCTTACTTTCCATACAAACAATTATTTGATGTCTGTAGGTCCTTACTTTCCATACAAACAATTATTTGATGTCTGTAGGTCCTTACTTTCCATACAAACAATTATTTGATGTCTGTAGGTCCTTACTTTCCATACAAACAATTATTTTTATTTCATGGGTGACTTTTGTTGGATTTGCAATTATTTTCTATTATTCCCAAATTTATTATAAAAATTGTTATTGTACAAAAAAGATTTGTCACAAAAAAATCACATAAAAAAATTTCTGAAAACATTTGCAGTAATAAAATCTTGGGAATCCAAAATTTCTGTAACATGAGCTATTGAAAGTTAGAGAGTTGTGTCCCTTTAATTGAAAAAGTGTGACACAGGGGAACTGGTTTACATGTATAAAAAGCAAGGAGAGATGTTTTGAAATAAAATAGCAAAAAATAAAAAAAGTTGCATATAATATTGGAACGAGTAATAAAGTAATATTTAAGAATTGCAAAAGACAAAACAAAAAATGGTGTAAAGAATGTTTGGTCAGAATTTTTGTCACGGGCTTCAATCAAAAAATGTTGAAAGTTGGAGAAGCTTATGAGATTTAGGAAAAGATTACAGCAAAAAAAAAAAAATCAGATCAATGTTTCCCAACGAACCTAGGTCCTTGGTTTAAGAAATAATGTGATGAAAAAAAATGAATATTTGAACTATTGTCCTCATCTTTGTCGCCATATTTATTACAACATTTTGGCTGTTGTATGCTCCGGCCTTCTTCAGGTGATTGGAATGTCGAACTGAACCCTTTATTTCACTCACTGGGGTAGACTGTTCTAGTTCCACGTGCCATGTCTAATGGATGTCAGCTATCAGTTATCTCCTTTAAATTCTCTCTCCAAGTTCTCCACTGCCTTAACCAGGTATTGAACTCACACTCTTTGGGCCTGCCACTGGATCTAACTAATGCCTTTATCCACTGTGTATGAATTTCTGGGTATTATAAACCCAATGTCTTCAGTAATCATTTTTTACCAGTTCTCATATTGCAATTTTTGATATTATCATTGCATGTTTTTACCAGTTCATATTGCAATTTTTGTTAGAATTTTTCTCTGGCACGCCTTATTACTGGTTCCTATATTGTATTCATTTCTATGTTTAGTCGGCTCAGGAGATTTTGGGGGCCTAGCATATGTGCTGATTCCTTAAGTTTACGTATTTTCCAGTGATGTTCTTTGTTTATGATTTCAACCTGATCCCACAGAGGGCAGTGATCTCCCTTTTCTCTCCATATGTGGTCAGCCACACCTGATTTTTCCACTTCCTCTCATGTTACAGCTTTCTGGTGTTCTTGAAGCCTTACCTTGAGGGGGCGGACTGTCTCCCCTTTATATTTCTTTCCGCACCTGCATGCGATAGAGTACACACAGTCTTTAGTCATGTTCTCCTCTATGGGGGGTCTTATTCAGGATAGATATCTGCGAAGTGTTGTCCAGCTTTTGAAAGTTGTCCTGATGTTATATAGACCACAAATCCTTTCTATTTTCTCTGATAACCGCTTCACATAAAGGCAGGCAGACTGTTTTCTGAGTGTTGTCCTCCTCTTGTACCTGCCTATCCCAGTTTTTGGGGGCTGCTGCCATTTATCCAGGGTAGTTGTTATGTTGTAGGGTACTACTTATACAGACCAATGTCTCTGGGTCACCACTTATGACTTTTGCTCAGTGTTCTAAGTAACGGACGATCCCTTTCTTTATGCTGTATGGATGGTGGGAGTTGAAATTGAGGTACTGTCTGGTGAATGTTCCTTTACAGTATACAGATGTCTTGAACCCATTCTCTGTTCGAGATATTAGTACATCCAGGAATGGGAGTGTGTTGTTACTCTCTTTCTCCATTGTGAATTGTATCAAAGGTCTTATTGAGTTCACATGGTCCAGTAGAACCTGGACATCTTCCTGGTGTGGCCGGAGTATGAAGATGTCATCTACGTACCTTAACCATAGAGTTGGCTTTAGATATATAGATTCTAATGCCATTTCCTCAAAGCATTCCATGCATATATTCGCAATTGCTGGTGATAATGGCAAGCCCTCATCCTGTCGATATATGTGTGATCCCATTCCGAAGTATGTTGTTTGTGTACAGAAAGTCAACATCTCCATCAGATTATCTGGTCTGTTCTTCTAGGGATGAGTCAGAGACCAATCTGTCTCTGACTACTGAGAGTGACTCCTCCGTGGGTATCTTGGTGAACAATATAGACAGATACTGAATAAAAGCTGGACGCTTTTTCTTTAATGATTTTCTTTTCAAGGCAATTGGAATGCATTGCATTATGGGTAGTTTTTCAAGGAGTCATTTTGATTTGAGAGAGTCTATTATAAACAAAATAAATTTTGCTAGTTTGGGTCTGCATGTGTGAATGTCATGAGATTATGTATATGCAGAAATATATATCAGAAATTTGATAAATTTTATTTATTTATATAAATTATGCATATAAAATATTGAGGGCATATATAATGCAAGGTTGAAAATTTCTCAGTCCAGTAAAAAATAACTGATGTGTGATAATTTGGTTGTATTTTGTGAAGTTATCTGTTGATGCCTATCTATCTCTCTCTCTCAGTCTGTTAATATCTCTCTCTCAGTCTGTTAATATCTCTCTCTCTCTCTCTCAGTCTGTTAATATCTCTCTCTCTCTCAGTCTGTTAATATCTCTCTCTCTCTCAGTCTGTTAATATCTCTCTCTCTCTCTGTCTGTTAATATCTCTCTCTCTCTCTCAGTCTGTTAATATCTCTCTCTCTCTCTCTCAGTCTGTTAATATCTCTCTCTCTCTCTCTCTCAGTCTGTTAATATCTCTCTCTCTCTCAGTCTGTTAATATCTCTCTCTCTCAGTCTGTTAATATCTCTCTCTCTCTCAGTCTGTTAATATCTCTCTCTCTCTCAGTCTGTACATATCTCTCTCTCTCTCAGTCTGTTCATATCTCTCTCTCTCTCTTCATATCTCTCTCTCTCTCTGTTCATATCTCTCTCTCTCTCTCTCTCATATGTTCTCTCTCTCTCTCTCTCTCTCTCTCTCTCTCAGTTTGTTCATATCTCTCTCTCTCTCAGTTTGTTCATATCTCTCTCTCTCTCAGTTTGTTCATATCTCTCTCTCTCTCTCAGTTTGTTCATATCTCTCTCTCTCTCAGTTTGTTCATATCTCTCTCTCTCAGTTTGTTCATATCTCTCTCTCTCTCTCAGTTTGTTCATATCTCTCTCTCTCTCTCAGTTTGTTCATATCTCTCTCTCTCTCTCTCAGTTTGTTCATATCTCTCTCTCTGTTCATATCTCTCTCTCTATCTTCTCAGTCTGTTCATATCTATCTATCTCAGTCTGTTCATATCTATCTATCTATCTCAGTCTGTTCATATCTATCTATCTATCTCAGTCTGTTCATATCTATCTATCTATCTCAGTCTGTTCATATCTATCTATCTATCTCAGTCTGTTCATATCTATCTATCTATCTCAGTCTGTTCATATCTATCTATCTATCTCAGTCTGTTCATATCTATCTATCTATCTCAGTCTGTTCATATCTATCTATCTATCTCAGTCTGTTCATATCTATCTATCTATCTCAGTCTGTTCATATCTATCACTCTCATTTGCTCGGAATTATTAATCAGAAATCTAATTCCTGTTGGGTTTGTTATATTCACTTATGCACAAATAAACTTGGGGAAAATCTTACCTCCTTCTGTTCATATCACACTCTCCCAGTCCATATCTATCTATCCCTTTCTGTTCAAGTCTATTTCTCTCTTAATCTGTTCATATCTATCTATCTATCTATCTGTTCATATCTATCTATCTGTTCATATCTATCTATCTATCTGTTCATATTTCTCTCAGTCTGTTCATATCTATCTCCCTCTCAGTCTGTTCATATCTATCTCCCTCTCAGTCTGTTAATGACTATCTGTTCATATCTCTCTCTCAGGCTGTTCATATCTGTGTGTGTGTGTGTGTGTATATAATTTCATTGTATATATGTATATCTATACCTATATGTATAACTATTGCCATTGAATGACATAAGATCACAAAATTTCCAGGTGATTTGTACATATTCTACTCATTCCATCTACTTTATTCAATTTTTTACTTTGTAACTGAATAATTCATATGTATTTTTCATGTTCCCTACATGCACACCGCTAGAGGCCGCTGGCGGTGGCAGTCTGCCAGTGGTAACATTGCTGAGACAAACATGCTGGCGGTCTGACAGCAGGCCACCAGCAGTAAACGCTAATGTAGTGGCCAATTGGTGGCTAGCATGTAGGGTTGTGGCATAATATTCCAATTTGTACATAGTAATTTAAAATTGGTCTAACAGTATAAATTGTCAGTGCAGAACTTGTCTTAATTTGTATGTTAATATGTTCAAAATAGTCATGCTAAATTAATGAATTGACAATCATCATAACTACAGCTAGAAACAGAATATATTATTTCTAAGCATTTTGTAACTTCAGCTACAGTCATGAAGATTAGAGATCAAATTCCACACTACAGCCTCACTGAACAGCAATAGTAAAACTGAAACTGACCCTACGAAAGGGAAATATTTCGTTTTAATTTCACTGACATCCTGAATAAGGTTCAAATGAATTACCAGGTTTCAGGAAACAATGATAGCCTCCATATCTTCTTATTTTCTCTTCTCTCTTTCTTTCATTGCCCCACCCCTAGGTAATAAGGAAGAAGATAGTCTCTGTAATTTAGTCTGAAAACTGTGGTGTGTAGTGGGTGCGTCAGTGTGTGTGGGGGGGGAATAAGAATTCAGGCTATAGTTCTTTCATCCAAAATCTGTTATGAAGGTCAACTCAATTTTTACTGAACTTTTCAACAACTCTTCAAGACAACAGGGCTGTGGGTAATCTGTCCTGGTTTTTTTTTTTTTTGCTTGCTTCATCCAACAAAACCTGGTCTTCTTTATAGGCTGATATTTGGTACAGTTTTTAAACAGGATTAGTTTTTGGTTGGGATGGTTGGTGAGGGTGGAGAACTTCCTTACTTTTTTTTTAAGACAGGAAATAATGAAACTGATAAGAAAAAGGGTTTCTTTGTATGCAAATTGCAGGGGGTAAAAAGAAGAATCATCCCAGTGTCCATTTTGAAGAATGACCATTTGAATGTGTCAGTTGCTGAGTGGTGTCTGCTTAGAGAGGGACATGGATGAAATACTGTGTTTAAAGAACCAAGAGAAAGACATGAATTTACTATTTTGGATTTATACCAAGGAAAACCAGGCAAATCAGACAACACACATCATATGTGTAGGTATAATTTCCATTTTGGTCGATATGTATTCAGCTCAATGTGAAATATTTAGAATTGTTCTTCTTTTCTTTACGTGAAATTCCATCTGTCATTTTTGGATGAGGCAAACAGAATATGTTCCAAAAATAAAATATTCATATAAATATATAGTTAGTTGATTTGTTATTAGTAGTAATACCTATTTATTATTAGTAGTAGTACTAGTAGCAGTAAGACCTATTTATTTTTAGCAACAAAATGAAAGATTAGTCTAATAACAATAATTCTTTTTCTTCTTCTTCCTCCTCTTTATTATTACTCTTGTTATTTTTTAAAATATTTTGTTTATTCCTATTTTTGTTCTTTTTATTGATATCCTCTTATTCCTATTCTTGTTCTTTTTATTGATATCCTCTTATTCTTGTTCTTTTACTAATATTTATTTGTGTGGATGTTTGTATACATGTATGTGTTATTTCTTTAACATATTGTCTTAATGTACACATCTATCTATCTATCTATCTATCTATCTATCTATCTATCTATCACAGTTCAGATAGGCTGGTCATGTCATCAGAATGAGTGATGATAGGATGCCGATAATCCTCATTCATGTATAGCCAACATCTTCATGGTAAGCATAATGTAGGCCATCCTTGGTTACACTTCAAGGACAAACTTAAATACAATTTAAATGTTGCAAACATCCCTACAGAGGAGTTTGAACTTGCTGTTGAAAACTGAGCAAACTGGAGAAACACCTGCCACTGGGGTACAACTAAATTTGAAAAGAATCGTCTCGACCATCTGAGAGGATTAAGAACCAACCTTAGTCCATATGACAGTCAACCTTTCAGCATGTCCCTTGTGCATATTCCATGTGGGGTTGTTGTCTTATACAAGACATAAACTTAAAAACTGTACTGAAAGATACTCATACATCGAAAACGACAGTAGAGTCCATCATCTATCTACCTACCTATCTATATATATATATATATATATATATATATATATATATATATTATGCACATTTCATTGAATATGGCAGACAAGGTGCTTTGATTTAGTTTTTTATACAGTTTTTTGTGTGATCTGATAATTTTTTTCTTTACAGATGATAAATTATATAAAAACTGAACATGGGCACAATATCTTGACCATGTTTTAAACAAAAATGAAAAAATTATATAAATACATAAATGCAACAAACTATTTATTATTTAACAGTTAAAATATTTCATCCTTGAAAATGGCTAAATGCATAGCCGAAAATACTCAGATAAAAAGAACATTCGAACAGTTTTTATATAATTTATCAACTGAAAAGAAAAAAATTATTAGGTCGCATGAGAAATTTTATAAAAAACTAAGTCAAAGCACCTTGTCTGTTGTATTCAATGAAATTTACATGAAAGAAGGATTGCTGCTAAAATACACAAATATATATATATATGCGCACACACTTTACAAAATTCAACTGTTGACAAAAAATATTTGCCTAAAAATGCTCAAAATTAAAAATGTGCTCAATACAATTTTTAAAATATGAAAATGTAGGGCAGTTTAAGATATAAAAATTTTGAAACACCAACCTTTACACCACAGTTTCTACCAGAGTGATACTATCATGCAGTATGTCTTCTTTTTCCCTTCCACTTGCCCATACAGATACACATATATGCAAATTTTTGAAATGTAACGCATAAACTTACTGTCTGATGGTATCACTCTTGTAGAAACCATGGTAGCGTAAAGGTCAACATTTTGAATTATTTATATCTTATATTTTGCATACCTACAAAATACTAGTGTGTCTATATAGATAGATCCATAAGATTATAGCCTAATAGAAAAAAGATTTTATTTGTTCAACATAATCCCTTTCTTTGTCAATGCACTTAATCCATTGATCATAAAGGTGAAGCATTATACAGTGAAAATTTCAGATCAAAATTATGTTAATAACTGATGAGGTAACAGATTTATAGATCTTCACCTGTGTATAACAGTAGAGAAATGTCTGCTATGGTGGAAAATGAGGAATCTGTTTATTACTTGTTCGTAGAACAAAACCAATCCCCACTTAATATCCACATGTTTGTTAGTCAATAACAGTCTACAAACATGGTTTCCTGAGTGGTCTATAAGCAGTGAATTTGGCTAGAAGTTGAAAGCCCAGGATTATTAAATTTTGAATTGAATTGGCAATATTATTTGTCCTGAACTGGCATCTCGACTTCACTCATTGCCCCATCACTGTAACATAGCTTCTCTGTGCCTTTTCTATAAATATTTTCATGATAATTTTTCTGATGAACTTTCCTCTGTGGTACCTAAACTTTATGAATTTAAGTGTAGCACTAGTTTGGTGGCTTCATCATTGTACAATTGAAATGGTTAGGTGTAACTGTAAGTTCTATGCTGAAGGTTTCTTCTATTACACTTCTTGCTTGTGGAACTCTCTTCCAGTTTCTTGCTTTCTAGTCAACTTTGATCTTCAAAAATTTAAATGCAGTGTCAATTGTTATCTTCTGTCTTCTTAATTCCTGTTCTTTTATTCTCTTTCCTTAATAATGTTTTTTTTTTGTTCTATTCACTCATACTCCATAAGCCCTTGCATCTTAGTGGCTTTATTGCCTAGCTTGGGGGTGAAATGATTAAAAATACTGTTGAGTTTATTTTAAGTAGTATTCCTTGATAAAATCCAAAGAATCTGTAATATTATTGGTCCTGACCTGGCATCTTGGCTTCAGTCACTTCTCACTGCTATAATGTTGCCTCAGTGTGCCTTTTCTATAAATACTTTCATAGTAATTGTTCATATGAGTTCTTCACTATATTACTGAGACTCAATAAATTTAAGACTAATCAGTCATTTTGGGACTAAGCAAATTCATAATGAAATAGCCTAGTTCAGAATGGGACGTAGCAAATTCAAAATGAAATAGCCAAGTTCCGAATGGGACATAGCAGATTCAAAATGAAATAGCCAAGTTCCGAATGGGACATAGCAAATTCAAAATGAAATAAGCACATTTGATTTGGAACAAAGCAAATTCATAATGAAATAGGCATGTTTGAATTGGGACTAAGCAGATTCATTATGGACTAGGCGAGTTCAAATTGGAACAATCTATCTTTTCCCATAGTGATTGGAAATTGACTTTTTTAATAGTTAAACAGCAATTATACACGACCTACTATTATTGCAATGTCATCGCATAGAAAACATTTAATGAAAAACGAGTTTGAAATGAAAAGAAGTCAAATATTGACAGCATTTAATTCAGATGGACAGTGGAAAGAGTTGGCAGAACATCTTGGAAACTAAAAGAAATATATATGCATAAATACATATGTGCATATGTATTAATGTTTCTTCTTTATATTGGAAGCATGTCACTTATACATGAAAATGACCTTCAGAAGATGGTTCCTGTGAATCTTTGACAAAAGTCTAGTCTAATGAGACAAGACATAACTGCAGCATACTCTGGTATATATCAGGACTTTTGACGACAGTGGTGGAAACGTATATCAATTAGGCCATTTTTACAAGGCTATTCATATTTCAAACCACCGGATGTATTCATTTTTTGTAATTTACAATGATAGAGAGAAAAATGTTCCACTTATCTGCACATTTC